CATGCGGTTCACTCGGATCAGTGACGGTACCACCAACAGGATATCGGCTGCGAGTCGTATATCGGGTGCCCGCTCTCTGCGCAAGAGATGTTACTGGACACCCATGTTGGTTCGCGCCAATCTTTGTTTCAAACATCCAATTACATGTTTCGACACTCTGTTAAGTAGGAGTGGGCTTAGCGGGTCGCCCTGTTTGGTACCGCGCTGGATCGTGAAAGGGGCACTCGTGCGGTCTGTCCGAAACCAGTCACGTTGATCTGCGGCGTTGAAGTCCCAGGAACTGTGTTTTGGTACGGCTGGGGAGCCTCAAACGGTTGTCTTCTAATGGGGCACTTCTAATGGGGCACTACACCATAGAAGCACCCCAATCAGTGGATGTGTTGAACATTGGTGAGATGGATATTGAGATCGATTGGGAGATCGATCGTGAGATCTATAGTGGGATCGACAGCGAGGACGATAGTAAGGTCGATCGTGAGACCGATGGTAAAATCGATTCGGTGGCATCGAAACTGAAATCTGTCGCGGTCGTGCGATCCATAGTGAGATCGATAGAGAGGTGGGCTATGAGATCGACAATGAGACCGATCGAAAAAGAGATCGACCAGGAACCTGGAAACCCGGGAACCCCGCCGCCCACCCAAGTCGGCCCTGAAACACCAAGCAGGAACCGGGGAACCTGGAATCAGGAACCTGGGAACCTGGCCGCCTACTGAAATCGGCCGGGTTCTTTCGTTAATTGTTTTCAATATTTGCTAGGACTCTTTCAGTGCAAGCACTGATTGGGGAGTTTCTTGCATGTACCTGTGAAGAGGGAAAGCTCGGGAGGAGGCTTTATTGCCACATCATCGTTGGTGCGTCTTGGGTTTATCTCCTCCTCCTCCTCCTCCTCCTCCTCCTCCTCCTCCTCCTCCTCCCCTTCCCCTCCTCCTCCTGCTTCTCATCCTCCTCCTTCTCCTCCTCCTCCTCCTTCTCCTCCGCCTCCTCCCCTTCCCCTCCTCTCGCGCCGCCGCGCCCAGGCGCCCTGGAAACTGCCGCCCCCCCGCGCCCACCCCTGGCCCGGCCGCGCCACGGAGCCCCCCCGCTCCCGCCCACGCGGGGACGCCGCCGCGTGCAGCAGCGGTGCCATTGGCCCCCACCCGGAGCTCCGGAGGGCCGCCGCGTGCGTGCAGGGGAGGAGGCGTCGGCCTCCGCCGCGGGCTCACGCACCTCATTGAGGGGCGACAGCGCCCGTTGCCACTGCCCGCGTGTCTGCAGACGCCGAGGAGCTCCGCCGCAGTGGCCGGAGGTGAGCTCCGCGCGTGGTTGGATCCCTGCGTGAAGCAACTGCATCACCGCCCTCCACCGTTTTGCCCGACCGCGCTTCTCTGCAGTAGGCGCAGAGGATGATACTCCTCGACCTGCAAGAATCTTGGGGCACATTCTCACAGCTTCTGCGACCCCCCCACCCCAGGGCGTTTGTGAAGGGGCCCTGGGACACACAAATAAATACGCACAAATAAAAATATTCCCCATATTTTCCCATATTTTCGGGGTTTCTGTCTTCCCGCCCACTTCCTATATTTTCATATATCGAGGATTAATTGTGTCTGTGTGTTTCTTTTCCTCCTGACATTGGGAGACACAACAACTTTCGTGGAGCACCTGCTGGCCGGCCGACTTCCTACTTGGCGTGCCTATGGTAATCCCACCTTCGCTCGCTGCTGAGCACCACAAAGGAAGCAGTGACTTGTCGCTGCTTCGAGCGAGCGTATTCTTGAGCCAAAGTGGATTGAGCCAGCATGTCTTGATCCTCCTCCTCATCATCATCCTCATCTCGTCCTGCCGCTCATCCTCCCCCTGCTCCTTCCCGCTCCTCCCTGGAAGCCCCAGTAGGCACACAACCACTCGAACATGCAGACATATTGATCCTCGATGATCTTCTTCTGCTCTTATCTACTCGTCTTTCCTCCTCCTGTTCCTGAATGTGGATGCTTCCCACAAGGCCCGTTCCAAAATACCAAATCGGTTTGACAGCTCTGGGACCTGCATGCGGCATCCGGAGGCCGAACTTGGCGAGAACCGCGTTCGTTTCTTCAGGACGTTACGCATTCAGGGTCCACCTCCTCCTCCACCCCCAGCGGCTTCCGTCCCGCGCCTCCTTCTTGATGTCGAAATCGCCGGTCTGCCCCGCGGCGGCCGGCACAAGGAGGAGATGAGGGCGCGAGGGCAATCGGAATTGGATCGGAAGAAACACAACCGAACCATTGCCACTCGAACGTGGGTCACGGGCACTGGCCCCTTCGCAGAAGGCCCAAGGCCCCACGGATGCAACCAGCAAGATCACGTTCACGGTGGAGTATCCAAACACGCAGAACCTGATACCACCCATGCGAGCTTCGGACTGTGCCTCGCCCTCGAGCCAACTGCTGTAATGCAATACAGTCGACCCGTATGATAAGGATGCGCGGTAAGGATGCAAGGGCCTTGGAAGGCCCATGTCGACACTTCTCGAGCGGGGCTGGCCAGCGCAAGTTGCCAGGGATGGGCCGAGGGGGCAAGGGTGCAAGGGTAGCCTTGGGAAGGTTGCTCATCCTGACTACGCGGGTTGACTGCGGTGGCGGCGAGGAAGGAGGCGCCATGCAGCCGATCCGTTGCGCAGAGCGGCTTCTTCAGACAACGTCTGCATCACCACCCGCCCTCTCAACTCGTTCGCGCAAACGCCTGGAAACAATTCTTTTGCAAACTCGGAATGCACACTGCGAAGACCAACGGTTGAACAACACATTACCTCAAGACGTTGGCAACCAACCCAATACGTTTGGCAACGTAAAAAGCAACGCGATGTGCCCGTGACGCTCAGAACGAACCTGCCAGACGGAACGCCTCGGGGAGTTGGGATGGCCACGTTTCAACGCCCATCGCCCCGCTGGACACGCTGACCATTGACGACCCAACGCACGAAGAAGACGACGCCGAAGACTCCGGACACGAGGACGAACAGAACGAAGGCGAAGAGCACACGAGGATGTCCTGGAGGAGAGGAGGCGCGTTGGCGCGCGCAGGAGAAGCAGGGAGAGCGGACAGAGGACGGCCAACGACGAGGTATGACGGCTGATCTTTCTCCAATGCCCAATCGTGCAGGAACGCTGCCAAGCCAAGATCGCGCCCCCGTCCCTCCGTGAGAGGTGCAATCAAAGCCCGCTGGCGGCTCCGTCGCTCAGCCGTGCAAGAAGCTGTCCACTCCGGGATGGCGCGCCAACTCCGCGGCCACGCTCCTGCCTCGCTTTTGGCAGCACCAAAGGGCAACACGCGGCCCGCACTCCAACCGCGGGGCTCACCAAGCCACACCTCTGGACCCCGCACTGGCGCTGCGGTGGCAAAATCCAAGCCCTGCCTCGACAAACCATCGATTCTCCCGAACCGATGGGGAGCAGGGTAGGGTTCAGACTTCGCCACGTGTTCGACGAAATCCGAACCCTGCACCCGCCGCCCACCCAGTTGCCTCAATCGTTGATCGGCGAGGGCAGGGTTCGGATTTCGCCGCCGAGCAAAGTAGATACAGCATCACGCTTGGCGGCACCAGGGAAGGGCGAGGTCCCACCTGGGTCTGCGTAGCACGCCGCCCCGCTGGACGCCCCGTCTGCGTGGCACCAGGGAAGGGGCGCAAGAAGGCAGCGACACGCGTGCACCTGGCAAACGCCCAGGGGGGCGAATGCGGCCTGAATGCACTCAAACTGCACAATAAGGATGCGCGCTAAGGATGCACGGGCGTTGACCCTCCGACCAAGGGGCGCGGCAAAGTGGCGATAGCGCCTCGAGGCGCCCAGCGGAGGGCGAGACCAAAATCCAGATGTACGTAGCAGGCCATTCCGCGGGAGCCCCCACGGGGCGCAGGGAAGTAGTTGCAAGTTCCTGCCTGGGCGGCACACAGGAAGGGCCCAGGTCCGCTCTGCCATCAGGGTCCGCGTGGTGCGACTGCAATTCGGGTCTGCGTGGTGCGTCACCGCTGGGCCTCCCACTGGCACAGCACTATTGCGACAGCTGCACGGCTGGCAGCACCCAGCATCGGCGAGGTCTCACGTTGGATCCCCGTAGCACCACAGGCTGTCGGACCCCCCAGGGCCGCAGCAAGGTGGCGACGGCTGCACGCCTGACGGCAACCAGCGACGGCGAGGTCTTATTTTGAATCCCCCACGAGACACCGCCCTAGGGACGCAGCAACATAACGACAGCTGCCCTGGCAGCAATCAGGGACGACGAGGTATCGCCTGAATCCTCGTGGGAGAGGCAGGGTGGCGACAGCTGCACGCCGCGCCAGCGAGGTCTCACCGCACCCCCCCAGGCACCGCCCCGCGGACGCAACAGCATAGCGCCAGCTGCCCTCCAGCAAGCCAGAAGGGACGACGAGGCCTCCGCCGCATCCCCGCAGCAGGCGACCCCTCCGGACCCCCCACGGACGCCGCAACAGGGCGACGGCTCCACGCCTCGCTGCACCCGGCGGCGGCGAGGTCTCCTGCCGGAACCCCGGCGGCACACCGCCCCACGGCCGCAGCAGACCGGCGAAAGCCGCCCTGCCGGCAACCTGCGAGGACGGCGAGGCCTCGCGTTGGATCCCCGGAGCACCCGCGCCCCGCCCGGCAAACCGGCGGCAGTCGCCCTGCTGGCGGCATGCAGGGACGCCGAGGCCTCGTGCTGCATCGCTGGAGCACCGCACCCCGCTGGACACCCCACGGGCACGCGCGGCAGCACCCAGCGACGGCGAGGCCTCGCCTCGCCTCCCCGCAGCACCGCATCGCGCCGGACACTGCACGGGGGATGACAAGTGGTGACGGCTGCACCCCTGGCAGCACCCATGGCGACAGGTGGCACCCAGGAGGGCAGAGAGAGAGGGAGAAACCGTGAGATAGGGCAGGCAGCGATACTGGCGAGGAGAGACGCGAAGAGGAACGAAAGAACAGGAGGATGAAGATAGTCGAGGCGGGAGGTACAAAAAACACAAAGGCTCTATCCGAGCAGAGAAGCCAACGAAGGAAGGTTGGAGCATACATCTCTGAATCCAACCACTGGTACCCCGTGAGGGCAGCTTCTGCTATTGTGCATCGTCATTATGTAAACCCCAAGCTCCAGAAACCCTCAGGACGTTTGTGGCTGAGCGCCCCTAGCGGCCCCAAACAATCACGTTTACAGCGTGAATTGCTCAATGGGTAATCTCGCATTTACGGCGTTCGATTTCCCTCTGAGGCCCCAGGATGGTTCCGAGATGGCCCTTGAGAGTAGCGGTGGGTAGGAAGAGAGGGAGTGACGATGAGGATGAGGGGGAGGATTGGGAAGGGAAGGGGGGGGCGTTTGCAGGAACGCAGTCCCCCGCCTCGCCCCGCCTTGGGGGGGTCGATGATCAGTGTCAGGACGATCATGAGCTAACGTCCATGAAGAATCCCAGTGCCACTGCTCGAACCGAAGGTGCTGTATAGCGAGAGAGCGGAAGCGAACGGCGGCGGGAGCCGTGCCGTAAACGTTAAGGGGGGGGGCCGATAGCTCCCTTCACGGCGTGGTATGTGTCCAGACGAGCGCGCTCTACTACTCGCAAAGTGAATGCTCGCGAATGATCTGGATCCGCCGAGGGGGATTTGCGATCTATGACACAAAGGGGAGACACGTGTCTTCAGGGCCCTTTGCGAGCAGGCACTTTGCGAGTAGTGGAGCGCGCTCGGTGACTGTAGAAGGCGAAGGCGATCGACCGAACGACATCGCCGAGTGGATCCTGGCCCTGATGCCGGAGATCCCCTCCCAACCTCAAGCGCACTGAAGGAGATCCCCACCGAAAGGGCGCTGAGGGCCACCAGCCAGCTCCAAGAAACGCTCGCGCGTCATGCAAAGATGTATGCTGACTGCACAGCTCGGGCAAACTTTGAAGCGAGTTGCGCAGCCAGAGACAACCTGCATACGGCAAGTAGTAGTCCAGGCGCCAAACCAAAGGTCTTCAAGGTGAGCCATCTCAAAGCTGGTTGTACGTGGACAAAGAAAAGAACGCAAGTGTGCACTTCTATATCCAAAGCCATGTGGGCTGACAAGATCAGGAAGCCACAGTCTGAACCGCCAACGCAGAACGTCATCAAGTGTGTCTGGGCAAAACGTCCAAGCAATTTCGAATATCGCAGCACACTGGATCGTAGGTTCCCTCCTTCCCCCGACGAAGACCCAGAACGAATGACCTCCGCCGTTCACGCCCTGACAGCAACCCGCATCAGAGGTGCTGAAATCGTGCAAATCGAATAGCGACATATACGCTCGCAGTGGCAGATCGACGTGAACCGCCGCGCGATAGCAGTGGGTTCCGCCAGTGAAGCAGGCTACCACTTCTTAGTATAAGAAGCAAGGTATGGTCGCACCGTCAGCGGCCGCCTCCTCTGGGCGCTCAAGCGCAGGATGCCATCTGGTTGGAGTTGTGGAACAGGCTCGCGAGGAGCGAGGCAGCGCACGAAGCAAGCATGAAGCTCGGCCCGCCACCTGGACACCGAGGACAAAGTGCAACGACGTCTAAGTTCTTCATGGCATTTGGAGGCATGCGGTAGAATTCGCTTGATGAGTCGCGGGGCGGGGTGTGACAGCTGGGCACCGTTGCTCTGCATGGTAATTACAGAAGTGGCATACAAGACTGTGAAAGGCAGGAGGCGGCGCACGAGTGAGGTGAGCACGATGAACTCTGGCCCACCGCTCCTCCACGTGCTTCTGCCGTTGCGTGCTGTTGATAGCCGCAGGGCCGATCCAGGTTCCGAGGTACTTTGCGGCTCCAGCGACCTGGAGCTCTCTCCAGCTGAGGGGCAACGATAGGGAGTACAGGCATAGGGGGGATGCATCGACCTGGAATCGGCGATACATGTCCGATAGATCGGCGATGGGACCCAGATAGTGAATGCGCACCTTGCTGGGCAGGTTGGGGCTATCGGAACCCTATCGGCGATCAATGGGCGAGTGAGGGGTCGATGCATCCCCCCCAATGGCTCCCCCCCCCCCCCCCCTATCGTTGCCCCCGACCAGCAAGACTCCGCTGCAAGTGAGCCCCGGCGAGTGAGGTCGGCAACCTCGTCGCAGCGCGTTTCTGAACCTACCAGCTTCCAGGAGCTAGCCTCTCGGCGGCAAAAAGGTAGGCGCAGCGCTGGCTGGCTGGTTGGCTCGGAGGACTACGGGTCCGACATCGTCGGCGCAGGCTCGGGCTACGCCATGGTTCGGGGCGGGGAAGGCGCGCTGGAGGTGACGGATCAGGGGGGAGCATGACATGCCTGACAGTGGACATTCTTGAAGTACCCCGCTGCCTAGCTCGCGCAGAGGGACGAGCTCCGTATCTCCAAGCCCAACACAGGCAAATTTGGCAGCATACATCGCTCGAGTAGCCCGCCGAATCCCTGGAGGAAACCTAGAGTGCGCCAGGACCGAGTCAATCCGAATGCGACAGAGACAGGGGACATCAGCTGTGACGCCGAACGCATTCGCATAGGACGGCGGGGGGGCCCCTGCTCGAGCCGACCAGCCCGACGAGCCCCGGCATATTGGAAAGGTGCGTTCCCTACGAAACCGCGCCAGTGAGCGTGGCCCTGCTGACTGAGATGCGCGCGCTCGGCTACCCGAGGCTTACCTCCTCCTCCTCCTCCTCCTCCTGGAGGCTGAGCGGGCGCAGGTCGAGGGGGGGCCACGAGGAGCGACGACGCTCTCGACGGCGACGAGGTGCTCCGCGGCGAGCGGAGAGGGAACGGCAAGGCGATTGGCTGCGCGCGCGTCCTTGCGGCGCGCGGCGCGAGCGATGTGCCCGCAAACGCGCGCGCGCCTGCAATGGCTGCCTCGGGGCACTTGCCTCTGCCCAAATCCGGTCCTTGCGACCGATGCCACGTCGCCGCAGCTGGTTCGCGCGCGGGTTGCTCGATGCCTTTCCAGGTGCCCGCTGTAGGCAGCTCCGAAAAGCCAGTTGCAATAGCCACGTTGCCAAATAACTATATGGCGACGCGCGTGGGCGGGCGCGGCTCTTTCTTCCTGCGGTCTCGCCTGAGCAGGCTGCATTTCGCGCGGCGCCATGGCGCGGCCAGAAAGCCCCTGTGAGTGGGCCTCGACCTTTCGCGCACGACCTGCAGCGCGACTTCTCACGAGAGCGCTGGGGAAGCGCGCCCAGCCATGAACACGCGATCCGTGCGCGAAAGCTGCTTGCGGCGGGCACCAAACCGAGTGGGCAGATCGCTGGCGGGCTCGATCGCGCCATCAAACATGCGCCTCCATCTGGCCTGGAGGCGCCGGCATCAACTGTCGACGGCTGGGATTGCAGCAGCGGCCCGAGCAGAAACAGGGTTCGATGGTGGCGGGGGGGGGGGTCTGCGAGGGGGGCGGGCGGGGGTCTCCTGAAAATGAGTGGGCGCCTTCGTCGTCGAATGCCGCGCTGCGTTCTTCGGTCCAATAATGCTGGACCTCGTTGGCCTGTGGAGCAGAAGAATTGTTGTGATTTTACGTGTTCGAAGTGAACATGCGCGCAGAAGAGGAACGTCAGGTGATGATGAGGGCAGCAAGCAAGGCAGCCCGGGGTAAGTTCCGCAAGCGAGCAAGACGGCATCGTAGCAGGAGGGAGATGAGCTGGGCGCCCAAGAGCCAGGAACGCGCCGCGACTGGCCCCAGGCACGAAGGATGCGAGGTAGGCGGTGTGGAGTAGTACGGCGTGGTGTCGAGCAGCTGCTGCAGTCTGCGATTACCGCGTGCGTTCTGACGTGCGACCACAAAACGCTGGCGCAGATACTCGTGAGCAAGGGCGAGCTTGGCTGATCGTCTTCTGCAACTTCGGCAACGTCGACTTCTGGTGGTCCAGCAGATCACTTCGCGTCTCTGGCGAAGGGCTCCCATGGAGCCCAGCATCTGTTCGGAAAGCCGCCGCGCCTGATCGAATGCACCGAGAAAATCTGTTTCAACGACGTCATTCTCGACGCCGAAGCGCTCGACGGGGTCCAATGCCCACTTGCCTTTAGAAGGCGGGGCTTGAGTTCGGACAGTGGCCCGCAAAATGGGACCCACCCGCGCGAGACCAGATGTTGGGCACGACGGCAACCCCAAGTACATGGCCTTGCTTCGTTCTGAAAGGATGTGATGCGACTTCTAAGATTAAGCATCACCTCTGACCAGTTTCGGATTCTTGTCCGTGGGCACGAACATGCCGAATGGATAATGTTCGGTAGCAGTGCAGTTGAACTGGTGCCAGCTTGCTGAGGTACGTAGGTGTCGTATGGGTAGTGTGGCACGGGCGGATGCTTCGATCGCGTTGCCGAGAGCCCAGACGCATGAAGTCGAACTGTTTGGAGACAATCCCTGCATCACCGAGCCACCCAACAAAAGACAGACGCCCAGCAACAAGCATGGACCCATCAGCTCAATAGAAACGGCATGTGGATCGATTTCGCTGTTCAACTTTGCAATCTCGTCGATGCTGAGTGGGGCTTGTGCTTCGGCGTGTGCCAAAGCAGACTTCATTTCCTGAATGCTGTTCCGCAATTTGACATTGTCCTGTTCGGCGTGTTCCTGGCGCTGCCGAGTACCGTGCAAGCCACGAGTGTGTGTGTGTATGTGTGTGTGTGTGTGTGTGTGTTGTGTGTGTGCCACTGCGCAGGGACGGTCAAGGGTGCTCTGTGATGAACCTTCCTAAGTCGGTAGCGGCGCTGCCAAGCAGCAGCAGCAGCCGCGGCAGCCTACCTGCTGGCATCCTGGAGACCCGCCGAGGCTCCCCCCAAGGAGTCACGTAGCAACCTTTCCACAGCAACCATACCAGTTTCAGAGCCCTTGGGCCACCCGCTAGCTTGGAGAAGACCTTCGGTAGCGCGGGGAGATATGGGCCCTTCGACGGGAGAAGGAGGAGAGGAGCGCCAGCGTTGGAGACACCTTCCATCGAACCTCAGATCTCGCAGCAGCAGACTGAAGTTGTTGATGCCCTACGGCGCGGTTCTTCTTCATCCGGAAAGGTAGGCACACTGTCAATGCCAGAGAAGGCAGACAATAGACGCGTTTGCTTGGGATCATCCCGTTCGGCTCCGTCACGGTCACGTTGACGCGGGTCGTGTCTACGCCGATCATCACGTCTGTCTCTGGCACGACCCCCTGACGCCGATCACGTCCAGCCGATCAACGTTTCAGCAATTAGTCGGGCACGTCTTCGTTGATTTCCACCGCGAATCTACTACCCGGCATACTCCGCTCAATGCAAGGATCGGGGGCCCACTGCCAGCTGCCTTGACCGCTGAGCCAACCCGAGCCCGCTCTTGCACTTGATACAAAGAATTTGATCGAACTCCGCGTATGGACAATTGTGCGAACGCGTGGCCATGCACAGGAAAAAACAACCTAGAGTGCGGGCCAAGTCGAACAGTAGAGGCCAAAGCATGGATGCCAGGCTGCACGGCCTTGCCCGCCTCGGATCAGAGGTCTTCGCGTGGATCCCCGAAGAGACTACCACCTTGAGCACACACACGGCTACGGATCAGGAGGGACAGGAGGGGGAGGAGGGAGGAGGAAGAGGGGAGGATGAAGAGGAGGAGGGTCAGGATCAGGCGGCCGCGAGACCGTCACTCCTGCAACAGGCCGATGACGGGCACTATGAGCCCGTTGTTGATGACCTCCTGGATCTGCTCCCGGTTGCCTCTGGCCGGGGTCGCCGCGGGCTGCCCCCGCCGCTCCCCCACCCCCTCCTCCCACTTCCCCTCGTCGCTCCTCGGCCTGCTTCCTCCCCCCTCCTCCCCTCCTCCCCTGCCCCCTCCTCCCCTCCCCCCTCCTCCCCTCCCCCCTCCTCCCCTCCCCCCTCCTCCCCTCCTCCTCAGCATCCCTTCCCTTCGCCCTTCGCCCGCGCCCGCCATGGAGCCGCCTTGGCGCGCCGCTGGCCGTCCCCGGCGCTCGGCTGCGGAGCGGAGGGCGCAGGCAGCGCGGGCGCAGTTTCGCGCAGCGCAGGCGCTCCTACGTGGGTTCCACGCCATGGGGCACAGGGGCTGCCGCCCGACCCTGTTGGGGGAGGCCCCGGCCAACGTCCTTCGCGCCGCAGGCGGCGATCGTGAAGCTCGTGGTGCTGCTGGTGGCGATGCCTCGGCCCCCCAGCCTCCCACAGCCCCAACAGGGCCCCTACGGGGGATGACTGCCCTGGGGAGGGATGGCAAGGCGGGGGAGGCGAGCGGCGGACTGGAGGCGGCAGTCCCCGTCGACGCTCCTGCGGCAGCCCATGGAGAACCTCCCAGGATTTCGGCCAGCGTCGTCGTGAAGGGGGAGTCGGAGGAGAGAGTGGAGGTGATGCTCGGCGTGCCCCCCGCTCCCAGCAAAGGCCCCGCGGTCGCGTGGCGCTTCTCCGGGGCGCACAAGTGGAGCTGCTGGCAGTCGGACGGCCATCCCGCTTTCGCCAGATGTCCTTTCCGCGCTGAACCAAGTGATGGGTTCTCCAGGTCCGCCTCCTTCGAGACCCGTTTCGCATCCGCCAGGTTCCACAACCCATTCAGATGAGAAGTGCAAGCAGCAGTGACCATGAGAGAGGTGCACATTACTTTTTCGTTACGGCATTTTGTTGTGGCCTTCGTTAATTGCGTGGGTGTTTACTCAGTGGAGGAACTTGATCAGGTAGTCTCGGTTCTGTTATGTGTATTGCTTGTCGTTGCAGACGGGAGAACACATTTGCAGGGCGTTGGCATTTTCTGATACAGAGTGAAGGCTGTGTTGTGCATCACGATTCTCCAGCTCTTTTGCTTACTTTGTGGAGGGACATGAAATAAGGTGAACACACTGTTGCATAAGAGTTCTGTCTTTTGTCTTGCCTCTTGTGTGTGCGTGTGCGTGCGCGTGTGCCGTGCGTGCTCACCAATAAGAGGCTTGCTTGTAAGTGACGCTTCGCGTCTGTTCCGATTCCGATTCCGATTCCTCCGCCGCCTCCCTTTCGTCGTCGTCCTCCTTGTCCTCCTTGTCCTCCTCCTCCTCTTCCTCTTCCTCCTCCTCCTCCTCCTCTGTCCATCCTCCCCCGTCCAAGCTCAACGCTCCCTGCTCTTTCCCGAGCCTTCCATATCCTTCCTTTGCCCCTTCCACCTCTCCCGTTGCACCGCGTCAGCACCCATACACGATGAAGATCAATACAGGGCGGCAAAAGAAGAGACATAACGCGAGAAACCTATATAGAGGGAGCGAGGGAGGCAGAGGCAGAGAGAGAGAGAGAGCAAGACAGACAGAAGAAGAGAGAGAGAGAGAGAGAGCAACAGTGAGCGAAGGGAGGAGTTGTACAGCGTGCGCACACACATATACATACATATCTCTATCTATATGTATATATATAGACATACAGCTACGCAGCAACAGCGATGGATAGAGAGAGAGAGAGAGAGAGAACAAGACACATAGTGAGAGGGGAATCTGACATATACGTATTTATACGCACATCATTATCATATATGTATACATTCAGAGAGAGAGAGAGAGAGAGAGAGAGAAAGACACAGAGAGAGAAAGACACACATACAGGGAGGGAAAGAGAGAGAGGGAGAGAGAGAGATACGGATACTAACAATGAGAGCTCGACAGGCGGGGCGGAGCGGGTCAGCAGCCCTCCCTCCTTCCTTGTCCCCCCCGCCCCCCCTCCCTCCCCCCCCCCCTGGCGAAAATCCGTCCTCCCGGTCGAATCGGGGGCCAGTCTAGGCGCGCCCGCGAGGCACACTTTGTGGAACGGGGCGAAAGGGAGGCGCTGAGCACGGCGCGCGCAGACGGCCATCCTCCACCTCCTCCTCCGCCTCCTCCTCCTCCGTCGCCTCCTCCTCCTCCTCCTCCTTCTCCTCCTCCTCCTCCTCCTCCTCCCCCTCCTCTTCCTCCTCCTCCTCCGCCTCCTCCTTTTCCTCCTCCAACTCCTTCGCCTCCTCCTCCTTTTCAAAATAAGACTGTCGCTGAACATTCCGCTGGACTTTCTTACTCCGCCTTGCTGCGTCCTTCTTATCTTGCCGTCGCTCGGACGTCCATTTCCCGTGCATTGTTCGGATTCGTGCGTGCTTGTTTTGCTCGATGGTCCAGGATGGTCCTCGATGGTTCCCGCCGAGAAAACATGCACATGTCCGAAGGATGAAAGAGTTTCCGTTCAAAAGGGAACTCCCGCCTGAAATACGGGCCCATAGTGAGCACGACTTTCACGGGCGACACCTCGTATCTCAGCAGGTGGCCCTCGTAGCTGAAGCGGTGGCACTCTTAGCTCGGCAGGTTGTCCCGGTACCTTAGCTGAAGGCTGCCGTAGGTCTGCGAGCGGTCAGTGTAGCTCAGCGTGTGGCTCCGCTCGCTCAGCTGGTGGTCCTCGGAGTCCAGATCGCCGCCCTCGTCGCTCGGCTTCTTGCCCCTACATTTCGGCTGGCGGCTCTCATAGCTATGTTGTGGGCTCTCGAGGCTCGTGTACCTTGTAGTTCAGTTGGTTGCGTTGGTAGCTCTGCTAGAGGCCCTCGTTGCTCTGCACCGCTCCACGTAGCTCAGTTTGGGGTCTCCGTAGTTCTGCTGGTGGTCCTCGTAGTCATGCTGGTGGTCCTCGTAGCCCAGCTGGCGGACCTCGAAGCTCAGCTGGCACTCGTTATTCTGCTGGTGGCTTTGGTAGCTGAACTGGTGGTGTTGGCAGCTCAGCGGACGGCCCTCGTAACTCAGCAGGTGGACCTCGTCGCGCAACTGGTGGCCTTCATAGTTCAGCAGGTGGTGCTCGTCGTTAAGCTGGTGGCTCTCGTGGCGCGCCAGGTGGCCCTGGTAGCCCACCTGGTGGCACTCGTAGCTATGCGGGCGGCCCTCGTGAAACAGCTCGTGGGCGCCCGTGGCAGCTGGTGGCCCTTGAAAACTGGTGGCGCTCGAAGCTGCGCGCGTTGCCCTGGAAATTCGGCAATTCGTCTGGTGGGCCCTGGAGCTCTGCAGTGGTCTCCTGAACCTTCCTGCGCCCCTGAGCCTCCAAAGCCTCGTCTGCCGTCTTGGTTTCGTGGGCTTTCCTCGACTTGTGCAAGTGGCCCCACGGGCCGTAGTTGCACAGGGGGTTGTAGTCCTGGACGTTCTGGTAGAAGTCATAGTCGTATCTGCTCTGGGGGCCTTTGCAGCTGGTCACGCTGGTTCTGGTATCTGTGCCAGGTCGCTCCAGTACTGTCCTTTCTCGCGCGGTGGGACAATCGTGGCCTGGCTCGGCTTGAAGATGGCCGCGGCTGGGTTCAAGCCGCCGCTCTTGCTGTCGTAGTTGCCGTCGATCTTGGTGGCGCGCGTGGTGTTGCACTGGTGGTGGTTATCGTACTTGGGCCGCCTGCTGCGCAGCTCGTCCTCGGGCTGCATGCTGCGCAGCTCGTCCAGCCCATTACTGGACACCACCATGGAGGCGTGGTTGTAGGCCGTGTCACACGAGGCCGCCAGCTCTCTTTTTTTCCGTCTCCGCTCCAATGCGTCACTAGCCACGGGGCCTCAACTGCCACCCCCACAGCTCCGGAACCGGGTATTGCGAGGGCTTTGGTTTTGGCCGCACTGTGTCCGTGGGCCACGATCAGATGATGAATGCCGTGCCACATCCCGAGTGGCACAGCGGCCAAAGCCGAAGGCCAGCGTTCAGAGAGGCCGCCAGCTCTCTCGAGCGCTGCATCTGCTCGTACTCTCGTGCGCGTGTGCGGTCACCGCACGCTTGCTGGCGGGTGGGCCCCCACCAGAAAAGGGCACCCCCTCGGTCGCGCGCGCGCGGCCAGGCGCGGCGCCCGGGGGCGGGCGCGGGGGATTGGGTTCCCGCATACGGCCTCCCTTCCTCCTCCTCCTCCTCCTCCTCCTCCTCCTCCTCCTCCTCCTCCTCCTCCTCCTCCTCCCTCCTTCCCTCCCCGTCTGCTCCTCCTCCCTCCCAGGAAGACCCCCCAGTTCACGGCTGGACCACCCAGGCTCCCCGCATGTCTCCCTCACGGGCTTACTCTGGTCCTGCTGCTCCTCCTCCTCTCCTCCTCCTCCTCCGCCCTCCTCCTCTCCCTCCTCCTCCTCCTCTCCTCCTCCCTCCTCCTCCTCCTCCTCCTCCTCCTCCTCCTCTTCCTCCTCCTCCTCCTCCCCCCACCACGACACCCAAATTCACAATGCTCCTCCTGGATTCGCAGCAGGACACTCAGACCCCAAACTATTCCTCGGGCCCAGAAGATCGCCCCAAACTCCCAGCACAAGACTCCCGCAAGACCAAGGCGGGATGACGATGAATTCGGATAAAGATAGATCGGGAATCCCTGAGAACTGGCGGGTCCGGAGGACGCGTCGGGCGCCACGGCCGTGGAATGACGTCCCGGAGCGCCTCGAGAGCGTTCCGGGTCGCTCTGGAGCAGCTCATCTTCATCATGGGCTTACCGCCAGGTCCTCCACCTCGTCTTCCTTCTCCTCCTCCTCCTCCTCGTCCTCCTCCTCCTCCTCCTCCTCCTCCTCCTCCTCCTTCTCTTCACCCTCCCCCTTCCCCCTCGTCCTCCGCCGTCTTCTCCTCCATCCCTGCACCTTATGAACAGATCGTGCCTGTCGCACTCCGAGGCGAGTCCGTAGGGCGGGCCAGGAGTTTCGCCTGAGACGTCCTCACCACTTCTGATCCTTAAAGCTGAGGGCTTACAACAGCTCCATGGATGGAGGGCGGGCCGTTTTCAAAATGCGGCTCTCGCCTCAGCGCCACGCACATCTGTGTGTAAGAATAGGAAGAGTTTCGCGGGTGGAGGGCGCTCCGTTTTCAAAATGTGGTTTCGCAGCGCACATTCGTTTCTTAATCATGAGCCCGGCGCGACCCAAATTAGGGGAAAGCTTCCTACTGCATGGGCGCAAGGCTTGACATTGGTTGGCATTGCTTGGCATGCGGCGCCAAAGGCGGGAGCCCAGGCCTTGGCATTGCTTGACATGAAATACCGGGGGCGGGGAATCTGGGAAACCCTGGGCTTGGCATTGCTCGGCATTGCTCGGCATTGCTTGGCATTGCTTGGTACTGCTTGGCATTGCTTGGCGCTGCTTGGCATTGCTTGGCACTGCTTGGCGCTGCTCGGCATTGCTCGGCATTGCTTGGCATTGCTTGGCATTGCTTGGCATTGTTTGGCATTGCTTGGCGTTGTTTCGCATTGTTTAACATTGCTTGGCATGAGGCACCGGGGGCGGGGAACCCGGGGAACCTCTAGGCAACGGGCAACGTAACAATAGGAGGCACCCGGGGCGGGGAACCCGGTGAACCTGCGGAACCTCCGGGCAACGGATAAAGTAACAATAGGAAGCAACAACCTTTATCAAGTAATCAAGTAAGAACTCCTCAGTCAAGCCTAGTAGGGGAATGTACAGTTTTCGCGGATGAACAGCGGGCGGTTTTCAAAATGTGGCTCTCGCCTTGGCGCCGTGCGCATTCGTCCTACAAGTTTGTAACAGTTTCACGGATGGAGGGCAGGCGGTTTTCAACATGTGATTATCGCCTTCGCACCGCGCACATTCGTCAAAAAACACCTCTGCAACAACTTCAATGATGGAGGGCGGTACCTTTTCAAAATGTAGCTCTTGCCTTAGCGCCGCGCACATCCGTCTTCAACACTAACACATGTTTCAAGGACTCTCAGGGCTGGCACGACGTAAGACTGTCAGGGCGAAACAGTTACTTTGCTTCGGGGTGTTGAAGAGCGTTAGTACGCGACAGTATTGTTCATTCGCGCCGTTTAAATCCAAGGGATGGTTTTCTGGCACGGTTCAGGATGTTCAGACTTCCAACGAGGTATTCCCCTGAGTGATACTGAATCCTTGCAGGGACCAGTGAAGAGGGAGCTTGGAGGAAAATATGATTGCAATATCGATGATGAGTCTTGGATTTACACTGGTCCTCCTCCGCCTCCTCCTCCTCCTCCTCTCCTCTTCCTCTCCTCTCCTCTCCTCCTCCTCCTCCTCCTCCTCTTCCTCCTCCTCCTCTCTTCCCAGACATCCGACGTCGTGTTTTTTTACAGCGTCGCTCCCCAAGAGATCTGGACTGACCCTTCCAGGACTGGCTCTCCGTCCTGGCTGGTTTTCGGCGGTTCCCGGGGCCCAGAGAAGGCCTCCGGAGGCCAAGACCTGTCAACGACTGCCGTCTGGCGCGAGGATGTCAAGGCTCCCCCCCTCCTGGCCACTCTCCCAGAGTCGCCCGCGGTGATGTTGGAGATCGTCCAGCAGCTCTCCTTCCGGATCGCCTTCTTCGCGTGCGTCAGCAGCTTCAGCAGCGAGGGCAGCGCGCCGCTCTGCAGGATCACCTCGCGGCGCCGCGCACACACTCCCTTCTACCGCTTCTTCTTCTTCTTCTCATTCTTATAATTACTATTCGTCTTCTTCGTCTGCTGATTATGTTTCTTCCTCTTCTTCTTCTTCTTCTTTTCCTTCTTCTCCTTCGGTGGTGGGCGCGCGCGGCTTTGAGAAGTCGTGCGCTGTGTTGTGGGTGGGGCTCGAAGTTGCCCCTGCTCCTGGGCCGCGCATCATCGCAGCTGGGGCACGCGTAACTAGACTTGTTGCTCACATCTGTGAGCTATGCGTGGGCACAATCGAAATGTGGAGCCAACAAATGCAATAATCCACTGCGTGGCTGCTGGGTGGTCGTGGGAACGGTCAGATGTGTATGCGAAGTCGCACAAGCTGTACGGTGGCAATCGTCATGCACTTCTGTCGAGGTGGCATTGGAACCATCAACAAGGACTTTCTGGCTGCGTCCTGAACCGTAAGATCCGTATTGGCTGCCACTGCAGGTGAAGCACGGAAGTAAGAGGCTGTCGGGGTGCTGCGCAGATGTCTGCTTCACCGAAGTAGTTCGTCTTGCCAGCATCGTTCAGCTGAATTTGAAATTGCCTCTTGGCTCGGGAACGCTGCGGTTGCTGAGCGTTGCGTGTTTAGGGTGATATGCGAATGCTGTGCCTCAACCGTAATCGCACGCGACGTGGGGCTCCGTGAAGCGGTTGGCATGGTGCATGTCGGGTGCACCACGAAGCAATCCATCTGCACGAAGCGAATTCAAGGGGGCGTGGCATCGTAGTACGGAAACGCGTAAGCTCGGTTGCTGCTGCTGCTGGTCCTCCGCCTTCGCATCCTGATCCTCATCGTCCGCCTCGTCCTCTCGCTCTTGCTATCTCCTGTCCCTTTTTCGCTCATCCCCCCTTTCTCCTCCCCTGCCAGTTCTTCTCCTCCTCCTGCTCCTCCTCCTGCTCCTGCTGCTCCTCCTCCTCCTCCTCCTCCTCCTCCTCCTCCTCCTCCCTCTCTTCCTCTTCCTCCTCCCCCTTTTTCCTCTTATCCTCATCATCATCAGCATCACCATCATGATCACCATCACCAGCATCATCATCATCATCATCGCTATCATCAGTATCAATATCATCAACATCATGATCGTCGTCATCGTCATCATCATCATCAACGCCATAGACATAGTCATCACCACCATCACCGCCGTTATCATCACCATCATCATCACCATCATCATTATCCTCATCCTCATCCTCATCCGCATCCTCATCCTCATCCTCAGCATTGTCCTCATAATCAACGCTTATCGTCATCATCACCATCATCGTAATCATGAGCATCGTCGTCGTCATCAGCATTAGCATCACCACAATCACCATCATCATCGGCAACAACAACATCATTATCATCGTCATCGTCATCGTCACCGTCACCGTCACCGTCACCGTCACCATCATCATCATCATCATCATCATCATCATCATCATCATCATTATCAACATCGTAATCACCATCGTCATCATCACCATCGTCATTACCACCACTGTTATCAACACCATCCGTCCTCATCCACCCACAACATCCAACATGTTCGTAAACTGCTATGCATATGCATGGTAATCCCCCGAGCCGGTCAAATACAAATAGTGCACCAGCGTTCACAGGCCTCCAAAGGAGGCTACCGAGCTGCGAGCGTGCGGCTGATGCTGCCGTCCTCATCGCCATCATTCCCATATCCATAATCACTGTAATCGTTATCGTCATCCGCACCACCATGCACATGCACATTCATGAGATGTACCTCGATGTATTTGTGTATATATATATATATATCTATATATATATATCTCTATATATGTACGCATGTAGATTCCCAGCCTGCCCCACACAAGCAAAAGGAATGGTCCAGGCCTGCGTCTGGGGGTCGTCGCCAGTGACAATGTTACCCACAGCCTCCCCGGCCGCACCGCCATCGCCTCTTGATCGTCCTCTCCCTGAATGAGCAGGAGGGAAGGGGAAGGGGAGGAGGAATCATGCGCAGGGGAAGAAGGAGGAAGTTGGAGAGGGGAGGAGGAAGAGGAGAAGGTGGTTGTTGCCACCAGCTCCCCTCCTAACCGCATCGCGCAGGCCGCCGCGAAATCTCGACACGGAAAGAGCGCATGCCAGCGTCGAGCAGGCGCGCCGCATCGGAGCTCGGAGCTCGACAGCCGCGAGCTCTCCTGCTGCTCCGCTCCCCTACGCTTAGGCCGGGCATGTCCTCCTATACAGGCTGATTTTGGACGAAAAATGAAACAAGCGGTCGAAACATCACTCAAAAAAGGTCAATACAAAATCAAAGTGAGGGGGCTAAACCGAACGGTCATTCACTGTCCGTGAGTGCGTGGCTGAAGTGGGATTCCGCGATGCGGATTATTGTTGTTGTTTGTTGTTCGTTGTTTGTTGTCGTCGTCCCACCCGCGACCCGCCCCGCGACCCACCCGCGACCCACCCCGCGACCCACCGCGACCCACCCGCGACCCCACCCGCGACCCCACCCGCGACCCAACCCGCGACCCAACCCGCGACCCACCCGCGACCAACCCGCGACCCACCCGCGACCCACCCCGCGACCCGCCCGCGACCCACCCGCGACCCACCCCGCGACCCACCCGCGACCCACCCCGCGACCCACCCGCGACCCACCCGCGACCCACCCCGCGACCCGCCCGCGACCCGCCCGCGACCCGCCCGCGACCCACCCGGCGACCCACCCGCGACCCACCCGCGACCCACCCCGAGACCCACCCGCGAACCACCCCGCGACCCACTCGCGACGCACCCGCGACCCACCCGCGACCCACCCTGCGACCCACCCAAAATGTTCGGCGCCTGCGGCGGGTTTCTTTTGCATTCGTTCCAGGTGGAGAACCTGCGACCCACCCGCGACCCAAACCGCGTTCAGTGTACAAATCAAAATTTTCGGCGCCTGCGACGGGCTGTTTTTGAATTCCTTCCAGGTAGAGGTGGAGAGCCCGCGACCCAGACAACGTTCACTGAACAAGCCAAAACTTCGGCTCCTGCGGCGGGTTTCTTTTGCATCGGCGACACACCCGCGACCCACCCCGCGACCCTCCCCGAGACCCACCCGCGACCCACCCCGCGACCCACCCGCGACCCACCCGCGACCCATCCGCGACCCACCGCGACCCACCCGCGACCCATCCGCGACCCACCCCGCGACCCACCCAAGATTTTCGGCGCCTGCGGCGGGTTTCTTTTGCATTCGTTCCAGGTGGAGAACCTGCGACCAGCCCGCGACCCAAACCGCTTTCAGTGTGCAAATAAAAAATGTCGGCGCCTGCGGCGGGCTGTTTTTGAATTCCTTCCAGATGGAGGTGGGGAGCCCGCGACCCACCCGCGACCCAGACTACGTTCACTGAACAAGCCAAAACTTCGGCGCCTGCGGCGGATTGTTTTTGCATCGGCGGCCCACCCGCGACCCACCCGCGACCCACCCCGAGACCCACCCACGAACCACCCCGCGACCCACCCGCGACCCACCCGCGACCCACCCGCGACCCACCGCGACCCACCCGCGACCCACCCGCGACCCACCCCGCGACCCACCCAATTTTCGGCGCCTGCGGCGGGTTTCTTTTGCATTCGTTCCAGGTGGCGAACCTGCGACCCACCCGCGACCCAAACCGCGTTCAGTGTGCAAAAAAAAAATTCGGCGCCTGCGACGGGCTGTTTTTGAATTCCTTCCAGGCGGAGGTGGAGAGCCCGCGACCCAAACTCATCCGCGAGGACGCGGACAAGGAAGAGGAGGAGCAGCAGTAGCAGGAGGAGGAGGAGGAGGAGGAGGGCGTCATCGACAGGGAAAGTGAGGGCCACGAGGTCCGCCGGCTCGACGCCCGCGTCGCCGGCGCCCGCCCCCCTCACTCTCATCCGCAAATTTGCGGGGTGCTGCGTAAGAAAAAATCGTCCCCGGACTGTTGTTGGACTGTTTTGGGACACTCCCCCTGTGGAGGGACAGGCCCGACTCCAAGCTAGGAGGAGTGCGCCGCGCGACTCCTCCTGTGGAGGGACAGGCCCGCCTCCAGCCCTGAGGCCGCGCCCCCCCGTCCCAGGGGGTCGCCTTCGGGAGAGGCGCCCCCCCCCCCCCCCCGTGCAAGAGGACGCGCGCGGCCCCGTGGGCCTGCCGCTCGGGCGAGAGAGCCCCGCACCGAGCAGGGGTAACCAGGTCGGGCGCGTCCCCCTCTCGGGCCGGGCGAAAGCTCGCCATCGCTCGGACGTTCATTCCCTGTGTTGTTTCCGGTTTCGTGCGTGGTTTTTTCGCCAGGTGATCAAGAATGCTCCTCGATGCCCCTCGACGAGGAAAAAATGCACACGTCCGAGCGATGCCAGGAAAGGGGGGGGATAGCAAAGGGGGGGGGATTGAGAATCAGCTCACGCAGCCGACTTTCCCGGCGCCTCCCGGCGACGCGAGGCGCCCATGCATCGCGGAGTGGGCCCGGCGGTGGCAGATTCCCCATTCCCCCCTTTCCGTCGGCCCGACCCTCTACGAGGGGGATGATGGGGCGAACAATAAAGCAGGCCCCCCGAAATACTCCCAAATAGTCAGAACACACTTGAAACAATCGTCCCTCGGGCGAGGGTCCCGCACCGAACACGGCCTCCCAGGCCTCTGTCTAGCCAGAATGAGGTCGGACATGTCCCCCTGCAGGGGGATTTTGGGCGAAGAATCTTAAAAAGTCAAAACTAATCAAACCTTGTAAAACAAGAATACTTTAAACAATCACCCACATACTATTTTTTTACTATCTTGGAATATTTCTCCTGTCGAGGGACACGACTTCAAGCTAGGACGAGTGCGACGGAGCAAGACCGTGCGATCGAAGGAGGCGTCCACCAGACGTCCCGCTTTGAAAGGGGAGTCGGTCTTTGTCCGTGAAGCTGCTGCGAAACTCTACGCCTCTGGCCATGCCGTGACCTTCGAGGACGTCCCAGGCATCTGCCTCGCTTTAAGTCGGGCATGTCCCCCTACAGGGGGATTTTGGGAGAAAAATGACAAATACCCCAAACATAATCCAAAATTGTCAAAAATTGTGAAACATGGCCCCTAAACTATTTGTTGACTATTCTTGCATATTCCTCCTGTAGAAGGACTAGCCCGACTTAACTCTACGCCTCTGGCCATGCCATGACCTTCGAGGACGTCCCAGGCATCTGCCCGGCTGGAAGGAATGCTCATTGCACCGGCCTTGCAGCCGTGCCGCAGCGGATTTCTGTGTGGATCTCTGCGCGGATGTTTGCCCGAAGCGGCGAGCGAAAAACGACGTACATTTCAGGTGGATGCTTGTTTGGTCTTCAGTCCTGGCCCAAACAAATCCGCACGACATTCACTTCGAAATCTGGATGGAACGCAATGATGCAGGACTGTGATGTTGGCGCCAGAAGGAATACGACGGAACATGACTGTGCGATCGAGGGAGGCGTCCACACCAAGCATCCCGTTCTGAGAAGGAGCTGGCCTCCCTCCGTGAGGCGGTTGCGGAAAAGCTCTGCGCTTCTGGCCACGACTTTTTCGAGGACGCCTCGAGCGAGAGCCCCGTTTTCGGAACGGAGGGGGAGGAGCAGGAGGAGGAGGAGCAGGAGGAGGAGGAGAAGGAGGAGGAGCGAGGAGGAGGAGGAGGAGGAGCGAGGAGGAGGAACGGCGAGGAGGAGGAGGAGGAGCGAGGAGGAGCGACGAGCGAGGAGCGAGGAGCGAGGAGAAGGAGGGGAGGAGGAGAAGGAGGAGAAGCGAGGAGAAGCGAGGAGGAGGAGGAGGTGAGGAGGAGGAGGAGGAGGAGGAGGAGGAGGAGGAGGAGGAGGAGGAGGAGGAGGAGGAGGAGGAGGAGGAGGAGGAGGAGGAGGAGGAGGAGGAGGAGGAGGAGCGAGGAGGAGGAGCGAGGAGCGAGGAGGAGTGAGGAGGAGTCGCCCTCCGTCCGTGCAGGCTGCTGCACACCCTGCGCGAATCAGGCAGCGCGTGGCCAAACCAGGCCTCCCGCGCGGGCTCGCTCGAGAGGGGGAGACCCACCCGGCTCCTGCGACGCGCGTGCGCGGCGCCGAGGGGAAGAGCCACCTCTTGGAGAGGCCCGCTCTCCCTCGTTGTGGCCGTTTGGGGACCTCAGGCTTCGGGACCGGCGGCGGCGAGAGGAAGTCTCGGGCGCAAGCCCCAGCTCACGCTTCCGACACGCACGGTGTGTGCGACGAGGGGGGTCGGAGAGAAGAGGGGCCCAAGTCTCCGACCTCGTGGTTTGCGCGCAGACGTGGACCTCCAGATGTCTGGACCCATTTCCAGCAAACCCGAGTTCCGGCGAACTCGAGTCTTACGTTTCTCCGATTCTTCATGCCAGGGAAGGTGGAGGCACCCAGGCTCCAGGCGTCGTGACTCTTTAATCAAATGTGGACGCCCAGAGGTCTAGATCCCTTCCCTGGGATTGACCTTTCGCCACGAGCCGTTTTTTGACGTCCTCGGGGCCTGTCGAGGGCCCCCAAGGGCCGATAAGGTTTGGAAACCTCCCGTCGTGACGTTTGAGAATCGTGAACCTTCCCTGGAATCCGACGTTGAGAAAAGTGGCCACTGGCAAAAAGTCGCGACTGGAACCCTAAACTCTGTCTTCCCAATGCATGTGTCGAACTGAATCGATCTGTGATGGTTCCGGAGCCCGAATCCGGGCGCAAACGCCCCGTGTGCAAAAATGGAACACCCAGACCTCAGTGTTCGAAAACCGTCGGGGGCCTCGGAATCCCCAGCGACCTCACCGCGCGATCCGCCACCGCAGGGATCTCTGAGGCCCCGGTCGCCACAGGCGTCCTCGGAAAGCGACCCGAGCCCCAAAACCACGTGGTAACTCCTGATTCCCCCACTGGCTCACCACGCGCGGTGGTCATCACACCGCTTCCCGCACTTTGCAGAATGCAAAAAAAACAATAGCCGTCCAGGCCCATAGACTGAACTGGGTTGCTTCAAACCTCAAATGAGATTGACTGTCGAGGTCCTGTGGTTATCGTTTAGCCCTCCAGGAAGGTCGGGGTTGGGCTCCTCCGACAACTTTTCGGATAGGGAGGGTGCGGAAATCAAAAGGTACCAATACAGTTACTCCCTGGACCTCTGGGGGACACCGCCCTGATCTTACAGAGTGCTGACAAATAGCCCTCCAAACCTATAGACCGACCTGAAACCTCGACGGGGATTTCGACGCCAATGTCCTAATGCTATGTGTTCCAAAACCTCCCTCCTCCTCTCATCTTGCCTACCTGCTTCTTACCTCGTTCCTTCCTGCGTGCCAGCTTGCCTCCTACCTGGTCATCCCTGCGGGGATGCGATCTGCGAAACCGCTGCTACTTTCGAAGGCTGCTGGAGGGTCCAGCGGAGTGAGGCACCATCCAAACCCAGATTCGAATTCGCCATCCCTGAGGGACGGTGACCTGCAAAATTGTCGCCACCTTCAAAAGCTGCTGGGGGGTTCAGCGGAGTGAGGCACCACCCAAACTCAGATTAAACCTCGCCATCCCTGGGGGGGTGCGATCCGCGAAATTCTCACGCAACTTTCGAAACTTGCTCGGGGGTCCAGCGGAGTGAGGCACCACCCAGACTCAGATTAGACGTCGCCATCCCTGGGGAGCTGCGATCTTCAAAACTGTTGCCGCTTTCGACGGTTGCTGGGGGTCAGCGGAGTGAGGCACCACCCAGACTCACATTAGACCCCGCCACCCCTGAAGGGCTGCGACCTGCGCAAGTGTCACCAATTTCGAAACATGTTGGGGGGGTTCAGCGGACTGA